TTAATAAACTCTACCTAATATTAACCAAAGAATTCAAAAACGCAATAATATATAGGGTGTCCCATTTAAAATAACAAAGTTATGTAGCGCCCATGCGAAAAGGAACACCCTGTAAAGCTAAAAATATGTTCTTCACATGGCCCACATGATTCCAGACAACTTTTATTAAAACCATTTTTTTTATAAATTTTACAGTTACAGAGTTACAGAAGAATCCCTCTTAGGTGGAACACCCTGTATATCTTTTCACCGTTTTAACCAACAAAATACTTTTTTTAATGAAATAAATATTAAATAATAACCAGATCCACTAGTTACCTAGACTTTGCTCTAAATAAAACGTTGATATTGAAATCGTTCGAGAAAAGAACAGAATGTTATTTGGATAAACAAATTTTATCTGTTCATTTTATTCTAGTTCATATAGATCATAAAAAAGGTTAGTAGGTATTCCGTTTACATCAACTTCTTAACAGTTCTATGGAAAAAAATATATATTTCAAAGTCCAGTTGTATTCTTCTTCAATATTTATTTACATTCCACACTAGTAAAATTTTATCACCAAAAATTTTAATACCAAATATAATGTGATATTTTTGAAAAATAAAAATAAATTAAATTAAAGAGGAAACTTTGCAACTCCAGGATTCGAAAATAATTCAAAAAATATTTCATAAGTATGTATAGGCTTGTCATAATTTTAATTTTGATAGTTGTAAATTTAAAAAAATAAATTCTGTACCCACCTTTGCCGGGGAAAACTGAATAGCTAAAAATGTGGCACACGCACATGAGTAAGATAACAAATGCTCTGTAAAAATCCATTGGGTTCTGATCGCTCGAAAGTCGTTTCACTACTGCCAGGAGACAAGAGTGTAATCAAACCAAAATCCACTTAGCTGTCTCTTCTTCGAGGTTGTGTGGTCTACTGCTGGAGATTAGAAAATCGTATGAATGAATGTTTCTCCGCAATCCTTGTGCTAAATTTCCATAGAGCTGGACATCGGTTTCGATATTCGATTTTCATTTTTGTGTAAACTGAAAAACACTTGCTGTTAATTATTATCTGTTAATACTTCTAGAAACTACATATTTATCTTTGATATATTTCATTCATGTATTTTTATATGTGGGTATCCACAGAGAAAAAGAGTCCAATATTTATGTCCTTAAAAGTATATATTTGCATCTATTACTGAAAAAAATAGATTTCTCTTCTGTACAATTCACCCAGAGAGGAAAATTTGGATGAAGAATTTATCAAACTTGATAAATGTTCCTTTCTTATAAAAACCAATTAGGTACTATAAAAAACAATAAGGATGTCTTAATCAAATTGATTTTAAATAGTTTTTTAAAAAAGTTTATATAACTGCAATTCACTCGTTTAATCTGGAACGATGAAAGGGATGAGCGGATAACATTTAAATGTCCATCATTATACATCACTGTTCAAATAACATTCTATACTTCTTAATCCTGTGATCTTGCGGTAAAAGTCCCTAATACTACAATTTTCAAAGCTAAATCTAAAAGACAAGCTAGAGATATTATGAACAATTACTTAAATCGTTGTGAGAAACAGTATTTCTATTTAGCACTAAACGCTTAATACGATGCATTTTAAAGAAATTTTCAAAGAATAATTTGTTCAAAATAATCAAAACTTAAAGTATCTTACGTTTTGTATAATTAAGACAGTGGCGTAGGGCGTAATATTTTTATTGTAAATAAAAGATGGGCAACAGGGTTTCTACGCTGCTGGTGATAATGGGAATATTAAAACATACTGAATAATTATACAGGGTACTAATTCCTTATTAAGAAATTATTACAAATATTACCTAATTGATTTTATTTTTAGAATTCAATAATACAATATGCCATTTAAGAAACATAAACAGCCAGTCTTTTGCCAACGTTTTGATATGTACAGAACAGAGAGTGACCATGGGGGCTTTCGTTTTGGCAAAAATAGTACCTATTAGCAACTAATATCAGTTCAGAGCAACTCTAAGTTGCTATTAGCAACTGATAGCTACTATTTTTGCCAAATCGAAAGGCCCTCATATTGTCTTAACCAGTAAAGTCAAAGTGTCAGAAACAAAAAAGTTCTTCCAGGCAAATATGATATTTTGGAAAATAATTCTGCTTGGTTAAAAAATATATTCTGTAGTGTATTTTTATTTATAAAATTTTATTAGTGTTAAAAACAAAAAAAATCTTACAAGCAAATTTCACATTTTGGGAAACCGGTCCGCTTGGAAAAATATATTCTGTAGTGTACCTATTTTTATGTTTTCTATCTCTTTAAACCTCCGCTACACTCTCGGTCACTGGGACACTGCCTCCAGTAATATATGCTCTAAGGTTAAAACTAAGAAATATTTCCAATAATTTGTTAATATGTAGTATTGCTCAGAATATTTGAGAATCTGAGTAAACAAGGTTTATTATGCGGTATAAGAGCAATAATAGATACCCATTATAGATGTTAACATAGAAGAAGAAGAAGAAGAAGAAGAACCTCCGCTCACCTCACAACGCCAAAATGATGCTACCGGCCAAACATCAAACTAACTAGTGGAACGAAGACGCTCTATTATATATTTTGTGGAAGACGCCGTCTACGGGTGTTTGGGGTCGGGAGATAAGAGGATAAATAAATCGTCAAGAATTAAAATGGCTGATAGAAGATCATCAATGGGTTCAAGTTCTGATGAACCACCAAATTCCAGACTTTTCATAATAGGTCCGAAGACACTAACTGAAGAGGATTTTAGGAAAGCATTTGAGGAATTTGGAACCATTGAAGAAATATGGGTAGTCAAAGATCGTAACACTGGTGAAAACAAAGGTAATATTTTTACATTAGTGATTTTGTGTATTCCTTTGAAACTCCGTATAAATTTATAGGTGTTACTTATATTAAATATGCGAAAACCTCGGCAGCGGCAAAAGCTCTAGAAACAATGAATGGAAAAGTTATTGGTGGTGGAGGACGAAGCATTAAGGTTATGATTGCAGCTAGGTAGGGAATTTATTATAACCCTCTATTGTTTAAATTTTCTTCTACTCTTACACATTTTAGTCGCGATCAAGGCTCGAAAAGGGACTCCAATGAAGATGAGAAAATGCAAAGGTTGTTTGTGATGGTACCTAAAAGTATGACCGACAGTGAATTATATGATTACTTCAAACAGTGGGGTGATATTGATTATGCGAGTATACTTAAAGATAAAAATACAAGGGAAAACAAGGGATTTGCATATGTGAAATATATTAAGTGAGTTATCGTATCAGACTTTTGTTGAAGTTATTTTGACACAAGTGTTTTGTAGGTTTTCCCATGCAGCTGCTGCATTTGAACAGTGCGATCGAAAATATAAACCCGTGTTTGCGGAACCAAGAAAAGCTAATACTTCCCGCAATGATGAGAGAAATTATTCATCTTCGTCATCTTATGATTCCTTCAATAAGAACGGCCCACCACCGCCACCACCTGATCATTATTCTAATGATGGTTATAATAAGTTAATGGTGATAGCATCCCCTTCTGTTAATCAGGATCAACTGTGGAAACTGTTCGATATTATACCAGGTAAAGTACAAATTCTTATTAAATATATTATCCAGATATCACAAATATATGGACAAATTTATTTTTGTAATAAGTTTTTATTAATATTAGCATCTTACAATAAAGAACTCTGTAAAATTTATACAGACACTAATTTTCACCAAGACATGAAAATATATGTAAAACTACTAGTAGACAGTTGAGATGGCACCGGTTTGATATATAGACCTACTAACTATTGTTTGTTTAATTCAGTCAAATGATTTGAAATTACATACTCTTGTTTTTCCCGGCTAATAAGTACTTATAATGACGGTAATATACAAAATTAGCCGTGTTGAAAGAAATTAGATGGTGAGTGTGTAGTTATCAGGGATGGGTAAGTATGGGATGTATTTTACATGTATAATACATTGTAAAATATTACAATTTTCTACAGTAAAAAATGTATATATTTTTAAAGGTGAAATATATGTATATTACATGTAAAATATGAAATTTACATATGTAAATATGTAGTTTACATATGAAAAATATGTAGTTTACATAAGTAAAATAAAACATGATGGTATATTAAGTAGGTAATTGTTTTTTATTATATAGATAATTTTTTAAGATAATGGGAAATTGAAGTTAGTAATATAGTATTTAATTCTCAATTAATTTTAGGGACTTAGATTCGTATAATCTGGTTATTGTTTATTATATCCAGGTATATTCCAAAAGGAATATTAAGTAATATAAGAATTAAGAACTATATTTCCATGTATTTGGAGATCACCTTCTCTTTGAAGTATTTTTTAGTATCTTATTACAAATATTGCAAATTGCAACATATTTTCCATCATCAACTTTTCCTTGGGAGAAGGCCCCCTCCTTCCAAAACGAATGATTTGGCCTTCCAGCCATTTGATTAATTTTTTTTTTCAAAATATCAGTAATATCACACAGGTCACAGGTTGGATTATTAGTATTACCACAGATTCTAGATTCCGTGGTATTACTTAGGATAAATGTGGAAATGGATAATTTTAAATGAAAATAAAAAAATCGGAAACTGACATTTGACATCTGACACCATATTTGACAATTATTGACATGTAAAATACTGTATTTTACATATTTTACATATGTAATTTATTAAATTTATTACATTACATTTTATACATATTTTGTATATTTTATACATTAATTACATAAAATTTTACATGTAAAGTAAAAAATTAAAATATTTTTCTAGTTACCATCACTTGTAGTTATATACTTACTTTGTATCAGTTTGTATTTGCCTTTTGTTAACCTGATTTTGAGAAAAAGAAAGCACTTATCTATTCAACATATCGGCTCGTAAACAAAATTTAGGTGTCTGAAAACTTACAAATCTAATTTTCTTTAAGGTATGGATTATTGCCAACTTCGATATGAAGGTGATCGCCTTCGTCCCACAAGAGCAATCGCTGAGGTGGTATATGCTAACCCTCAGTGGGCATCGCATGCTAAAGAAAAACTACATGGTTTTGAGTACCCTCCCGGTTATCGTTTGATCGTTAGACCAGAATACGACAACTTAAGGTCATCATTCGGAGCTAAGCCGTCTACAGATAAACAAAAACCAGACATCTTACAGATCGCCGAAACTATCGCGCAAGCCTCCTCTCTCATACAGGCTGCAGGCTTGTCACCTGGTAATTATTACCTGCTCGAAAGTTTCGCTTCAATTCAGTGTCAATTTTTTCAGATCTGTTACAGCAAAAATTGGGTTTTTCGGATTTGTTACAACAAAAATTGGGGTTGGCGTCTACGGGAAAAGATAGTAGTAGTTACTGTAGCGTTAAGTTACCTGATCCACAGCCATTCGCTAATATCGATGATGAAACTGCAGCCAGGTAAAAAAATTTCATATCGTTAACATATATTTACTAATAGGTAAACCCTTTTTCATAATCAGTTTTACGATATGAAACTGATAACACAGAGTCTTCATAAATTATTATAAGCCACATGACCAGTAATTTTTTTAAGAACTAACTTTATTTCCTTATTTTCAATAAAATTAAAAATTATTAAAACAAAGTCAAGATTACATTAAAACACATTCTATTGCACCGGCAATGATTGGTGCAATTTTTCATGAGATTTTCAGCCAATCAGTGATCGCATTATCTTGAACATTGATGTAAAAATTGTCATTTTCATTGTAAACAAATCATTAATATGTAGATTTTTAGTCGATGGTACCAGCCATGTAATGTTGGTTGCCTAAGCTCATCAGTCACGTAGCTTGTAATCATTTATGAAAGCATTAACAAACTAATATGAAATAATGAATATTAATAATATGTCTTCGTCTAATTTTTCACCTATTACAAGAACATCTGAAAAGTTCCCTCGTATTAATTTAATTGATAGATAGGTCTTACAATTTTACAATAGGTATTAATTCTGGTATAGCCAAAATTTGTGATAAAAAAACTGCGAAAGACAAAGGGATGACTTCAGCATGAGGTAATCATAAATGAACAAAAAAGTTGTATATTACAGGGACGTAAGGTTAACTGTTTTCAAAATACAGCGAGTATTAATATTGGGAATTTTCGTCACAACGTGATAACAGCGCTTTAACCTAACGCTACATAGCTGATCCATACCACGTGTGCACGTGGCAGACTTGTACTACGGAAAAATGTAAACAACTATTATTGTGAAACATTTAGTAAATTTCAAGGCAATTAATTGTTTTCCAGTCTTTAAATAAATAAAATAAAATGTATCGATTTTGTAGTACAAAGATAGCATTGTGCTTAAATTTTAGCTTGAATTTTAGTAATTATGAATCTCTTAAAACAGGAACTCAACTTTTAATCAATTTATGAATTTGAAAAATATGTAATTGAAGTACCCAAAGATTCACGTCACTCGCTGGAGAACACCTCAAGAAAAAAAAAATAATGGTACGCAAAAAACACTCAGACACGGTCCAATTCCAGATACCGACTTTAGTACCTCATGTTAATAAACCTCCGTGCAGTTGTCACATTGTTCGATATAAATTTTATCAAATTTTAAATTTATTACAACGCTAATTATTCTTAAAATTAAGCATAAAGAAGTTCAAAAATGTGATAAAAATTGTATTTTAAGGTATTTTATGCACGCAGTTATGTCAATATTCCTTAATTAATCAAACTTTTGTACATCAATTTGGAGATTTTGATAATTTTTTTCTCGGAAATGGTTGAGTTTAGGACCAATGTCATATAAGGTTTTTTTGTTTATTTTAATGTATTCTATCGTCTGTTAAAATTAAGGCAGTCAAACTTCTAACACCCTGTATAAAGTGAAGGAGCTAGGTTCTATCAAAAAGTATAATGTAAAACAAGTACATATTAATATTAAATAATCATTCGTTATTTATAAAACAGACCATACATTTGGTACATACTTATTGCACAATTGAAAAAATGGAAAGAACCATAATAAAAACACATTGGCTTAAAAAAAACGTATCAATTTGAGTTTGTTTCGCTTCTCTTCTCCTGTTTTCATACATTTCTCGATAACACTAACAGGAGGTAATAATTTTGTTATCATTTTTTTTCAAAATTTGGATCATGTTCCTAAAAAATATTTATGGCATTCTGTAAATATCCAAAGGCTTGCAACACCGATGACTGCACAAATGAAATAGCCCATGTAGTATCTCAAGACCATTGACATTAGATTGAGGACTGATGTTAGAATATTGCTCGACGCAACTCGAAACGATTTAAGTCAAAATGACGTAGCTCGAGGACTGCCTGTACTTGAAAGTTAATTTTTTCTTTTGCATTATTCTGTAATTGTCTTAAAGATAAATCAATAGTTTATTTTCAATATTGTATCAATTTTATTTCCCATGGAGGAAAAACTTAAAGAGATGGCAAATCAATTGAAATATTGATAAACATTTAAACAAATGATAATGAATTTAGTAATGATATTAATAATAACAATAATAATGTCAAATTGTTGATCTTTTCTAAAATAATTTTATATCATTTGCATAATGCAAAATACAATAATAGAACGATATAAAAGACTGTAACGAAGGACTATGGAATTCAAATCATATCCACGATAATCAAAATTATGGTTTGTTTTCCATATTAATGGATCAAAAACAGCACCATCTCTTGGATGCTTGTTTTCACCACTATGGAACATCTTACTCTTGTTCTTCTCTCGACATATAAATTATAACCGGAAGAGTTCAGAGTATTCGCGAGAATGTTAGTAGATACAGTTCGTAACCGGTTGTTCTCATTTTGCCCCAAAATATCAGTTTGTGTTTGACATTTATAAATATTCCCTGTCAGCTACCTCCCTCTTACATTATTTCAAAACTTTTAAAAAATTGGTAAATGTCAATAAAACAGCTGCACACCACCTTTGCCTCATTAATTTTGAAACTTTTTGTCTCGTTTTTTTGTTTCTGAGATATTCAATGAAATTCGTGACAGTTGTTGGTGTGCAGCTGTTTTATTGAAATTAATCAATTTTTTTAAGTTTTGAAATAATGTAAGAAGGGGGAATATTTATAAATGTCAAACACAAACTGAACAGCACACACGCCCGGCATGATTAAATGTTGCTCAGCAATAATCAAATGTTTACATAACCCGACATAATAGACTATTTTGCTGTCTATTTTTTTAGATGTTTCATTGTTTGCACCCCCACGGCACTTCCAAGTGGCGTTTTGAAGGATATCTTTTGCCGTTTCGGCAATTTGATAGATGTATATATGCTGAATAATAGAAATTGCGGTTATGCAAAGTTTGCCTCAAAGGCTTCCGCTGAAGATGCAATTAAGGTGAGTGCAAAACAGTAAAAGCAGATAAAAACCAATACCTCTTTTTTTGGTATATTTGTCATGATTATTTGCTATTTGTAGACATTGCACGGCGCTGAAATTTGCGGCAACCGAATCAAAGTTATGGAAGCAGAGGAAAGGCCGGATAGTAGCCGTAAAAGGCAGAGGGTCGAATCGGATAGTCCATTTTAATAAGTAAGTACTGAGGTAATTTTGTTTGAACAAATCTTTTAAAAGACTGCTCCTGCGAGTTATTTTGACAATATTGCCTTTCATATTAATGACAAGTACAGGTTATCAAATATAGGGTGCAAATCGATACTGGCACTAAATTAAAAGGATAACATGTTCGGCGGGAAGAAGATGACACTGATGGTGACGTTTTCTGAGATTTTCTCTGCATCGAACCGGTATTTTATTACAAATATCCTGGAGTTACGTAATAAAACTATGTAACTGTTACTCTCGTTTACCCCCTTGCCATCAAATATGCAATATATTAGCAATAATTTGTTATAGTTGTCGACTTGAAATCTAACACTGAAATGTTTTAAATTCTATAACAGTAACTAAATACTTTCTTTTTAGTAAAAATATAAACTTTATGGAAAAAATATGGAATACATAACTGTGTTTCATTTGAACCAAATTCTAATAAATCAATTATTGCAATTAATTTGCATCCGAACTGTTTACCCATAAAGATAATAAATACACAGGATTTTCGGCACCAAGTGATAGGGCCCCGTACATCTGAAGGTGTGACGAAATAAAAGCTTCTGCTACATTTGATGACCTGTAATTGTGACTATTTTTGATACCTTTTGAAATAATGAAAGACTGAAGATTTTTTACATTTTCCTCTTGTCGTTAACTATTTTTCATAATGTTATTTATCAAGCAGCTACTTATTGGGTTTAAATTGCAAATTAAACAAAAAATTGTATTTAATTTTTGATCTAAAATAAAATATATTAATTTAATTTTTAATACAAAAGTTCTACTGCTCTAAAATGTAAGTACAAGTCTTCTAAGTTCTTGTCCAACTTCAGGACCGTGTCCTTTGGATCATTTTATAAAGTTTTCATGAACAAGGTATACTACAACTGCTGGTTTTTGATATACAGGGTGAAAGAAAACAAAAATACAAGAAATTTTTTTGAAATATTGTATTTAACAATTTCCTTATGTCAAAAATGTGTGTTTTTTAATGTTAATAATATTTAAACATTACTTACAACAAAACACAAATCTTAAAAAAAGTTAAACTTTTATGTTAATAATTTTTCTTTTAACTTTTGATAGTTACATTATATTTCACAAAAAAATCCATACATCTTTTTATGAAGAGTGGTTTCAAATATAATTTAAATGGGTTCTATTGTTGTAAGCTTATTTTAAATTTAAAAAAAATCAGCTAAAAAATGGCTCATTTTTGGAATCAAAAATGTTCTTGGCATAAATTAAATGGGTTTATTCTAGATTTGTGGATTCAAATTGTAGAGTCCTTATTAACAATACAGGGTGATTCAGAACTTATAAAAAAAAAGGGCAGTTCGAAAATGATTTAAACACATTTGGGTCCGTCTTACTCAGTTTCTACGAACTAATACAAATGTTGTCTTGCTTCACCATAAATTAAAACGATATCCATCAACTCCGAGTAGCTATACACGCAAGCCATTTTTGACACCAACTTCTTAAAAACTATTGTAAACACTATTGCAACGACGATTGTAAAATCGGATCTCAGTATTCGGAGTCATTGAGGCCACGTGGCTCTCCACACGTATTACGAATGACACTAGAGATTACAGTTATCCAGCTATATAATGGTTGAAAGTACTACAACTTATAACTTTTTTCTCGGAAAATATAAGGATTTTACAAAAAATATTTTTACGTTATTGGCTCCATTTCTCATGCCGCATCTATTCCCAAATTTTTTTGGATAAGTTGTGAATCACTCTGTATATTGTAACCAATTCATTGAATTATTATCTTTAATTAAGTGCAGAGCCTTCATAATGATTACACGCCACATGATTAGTAACTTTATTTGGAACAGCAATTTTATTTCCTTCATGTTGGAAATGAAATTTGGGTAAAATTAAAAATTATTAAAACAGTACGATCAAGATTACATTAAAACACAACATTATGTTTCACCGGTTGGTGACCATAGACATAACAGTTTGTCACTGTTCATTATAAGCAAATCATTAATATTGGTGACGCCAAGATGTAGTCTTTTTTAGTTGACAGTACCAACCTTGCAATGTTGGTTGCCTTAGCTCGGCGGTTTGTAAATGCAATCTTTTTAATTTCAACACCCTGTATCTCAAACACTACTGGCTTTAGACTCTTGGTTCATTAACATTTCTTGGTGTAAAATGATCTGCGTGATAACCTTCTGAATTTAAAAAACATGTATGTTACACTTCAGAAATGCATATTTTTGGAATTAGAATTTCGCAGATTCTTACAACTTTCATTTTTTTTTTTAAAAAAAAACTAGCTGCTTTGTTCATTTTTAAGCTGATAAAAAAAGTAGATAATTTATTTTTATAATTATTTTCCTCCCCAGATTATACACTACAGACATTATAATAAGGACTTAGACCAAGTAAAATGTACCGTACGTTACGATAATTTGAACGTATGACACAGAACCTGAACATCTAACAGTACAATACTCTGAACCTACAGTTACATTTACGTACATTCTGAAATCAAGCTTTTTTAATTGTTCTTATGCTTTTTTATGTTAATTGACATAATTTTTAGTCGGTGAGTATAGTATACGAATAAGTTTTTGTAATAAATGTTTCTATGTGATAAATTGGTTTCATTGCAATCCTACCTCCATCTTTAAATGATTCTGTTTCTCCACATTAGTGAAATCTCACTAAGTTCATAACTTTCGTTATTGTCGCAAAACATAAAATATCTTAATTTCAAAGATGTGTTCAAAAATTAAATTGGATTAATTATTAAGATGCAAAAAATATGGTAAGTGGAATACCTACAAATAAATCAAACTTTTTTAATAAAGGGCCGTACTTGAAAATGTTTTCAAAAAAATCGAGATCACATCACCACATCAATGAAGACAGAATTGTCAAAAATATGTACCTACATTGAAGTAAGTTAATGTTAACTTACATTTTTATCACAAATACACACAGCGTGGGTCAATTTCTAGACTTGGGGATTCTCGCTTTTCAAGAATAATTATGCAGCATCTTCTTGATTAATTTAGGAAATACTGGGCATTTTCTATTTTCAATCGCTATTTGTGATGTTGAGTAACTTGATGTAATTGATTTTGTTTTCCAAAATACAAACATCATAAATTTATTAACAATGAATTTAATAGCAAATTTATCTATTTATTTTTTTAAATAGACCTGCGATTTTCTTGAAGTCCAATTTTGATGTAAGGCAAATTTACGGTGGATTAAAACAAACAACAAAAATGGCATTTCCATTTAAAAATATTTAATTTTGCTCGATATCTTTTTTAGGTCATTCTTGTACAGGGCGATTCACTATATTTTGACCCCTCCTCTTAAATTTTTTTGTTTTTAGAGATACAAAAATGTGAAATACAAAAGTTGCATGATTCTTTATGAAGTTTTTGAAAATGATAGTAGGAAAACAAATGAAATCCAAACAAAATCAACTTTGTTAATTTAAATGGAACACCTGTATATTTTTACATATTTGGATAAAACGTTCCCTGTCAAGCATAGTCATATAGGGTTTATTGAGTCCATCTCTAACAATAACCGAGATAGTATTGAAAAACGAAGAAGAGGTTTTTTATTAAGAAAATAAGACATCTTGTAATTGTTAGATCTCTTTATTAATTAGCGAGATTTAGTAAAATACCTATACGCATTTTGGACCACATCAATGTCCAAAACGTCAAAATATATTACAACTAAATCTGTAAATCCTTACGTAATTGAAAAAAAGGCAGAAATGCCTGAAAGAAGTCTAACAATATTAAGATATCTCATTTTCTTAATAAAAACACTTTTTTGTTTTTTAATAGTATCTCAATTACTAACAAACTAACAAAGTCATCTGCGGCCATTTTGTTTGGACTTCATTTGCTTTTCTACTATCATTTTCGAAAACATCATANACTGGGCATTTTCTATTTTCAATCGCTATTTGTGATGTTGAGTAACTTGATGTAATTGATTTTGTTTTCCAAAATACAAACATCATAAATTTATTAACAATGAATTTAATAGCAAATTTATCTATTTATTTTTTTAAATAGACCTGCGATTTTCTTGAAGTCCAATTTTGATGTAAGGCAAATTTACGGTGGATTAAAACAAACAACAAAAATGGCATTTCCATTTAAAAATATTTAATTTTGCTCGATATCTTTTTTAGGTCATTCTTGTACAGGGTGATTCACTATATTTTGACCCCTCCTCTTAAATTTTTTTGTTTTTAGAGTTATACAAAAATGTGAAATACAAAAGTTGCATGATTCTTTATGAAGTTTTTGAAAATGATAGTAGAAAAACAAATGAAATCCAAACAAAATCAACTTTGTTAATTTAAATGGAACACCTGTATATTTTTACATATTTGGATAAAACGCTCCCTGTCAAGCATAGTCGTATAGGGTTTATTGGGTCCATCTCTAACAATAACCGAGACACTATTGAAAAACGAAGAAGAGGTTTTTTATTAAGAAAATAAGACATCTTGTAATTGTTAGATCTCTTTATTAATTAGCGAGATTTAGTAAAGTACCTATACGCATTTTGGACCACATCAATGTCCGAAATGTCAAAATATATTACAACTAAATCTGTAAATCCTTACGTAATTGAAAAAAAGGCAGAAATGCCTGAAAGAAGTCTAACAATATTAGGATATCTCATTTTCTTAATAAAAACACTTTTTTGTTTTTTAATAGTATCTCAATTACTAACAAACTAACAAAGTCATCTGCGGCCATTTTGTTTGGACTTCATTTGCTTTTCTACTATCATTTTCGAAAACATCATTAAAAATCGTGCAACTTTTGTATTTCACATTATATTAGTGTTTAGATGTAATCTGCAACACCCTTGTAAAATTTGACTGAATTGCGCAATTTGAATGATTTTTTTTATTTTTTAACATAAATAGAACCCTCTTATATGTATTTATGAATTTATTACAATGACCAAATCATACTAGATTTTTTTATCAAAGCACCGATAACGTTACTATCGTTCCACATTCCTTAATACCCAAAAATACCAAATTTCGAAAAATTATGATTTTCAATAACTTTGCTACGAAACCTCAAAAAGAGCTCTCAGTTGCGGTGAAGCTTATCAGTTACACAGAACATTTAAGTGGGCAACATTGGTTCCGTCTGTAGCAGACTTAGAACCAACAAGAACCAAAATCGATATCAAGGTAGGCTTAGGAATTCCAATAGTGAATGGGTCTGCCCCCACAAACCCAAGCCCGATAATAAGGGTAGGTTAAAGATTTCGAACTGAGGAAGTGAATTGTAAAAGTATAATTGGTTGCAAATAGGGAAATGGGACACGAAAAAAACAGTACTTTAAATAGAAGTAAATGTTTGTTAAGCATATCGGATCTTTTTGCCAAAAAAGACAAGAAACCATGAGAATATGCGAGACTGAAAAAACTATTTCATGAAAGCGCTGGCTGTAACAAGCCAGCAGTTCGGTTTTTTTCTCCAGATTAGTGTCTTTATATTGTTGTTTATACGAAGGATGAAATTTCATTCAACTGTTCTCAATCTGCCCTCTCAACTCCTATGTGCTTGCAGGTGATTTTTGCATGATTGTGACGATTTCGAACGATTCCCTGTAAAAATGTACCTTACTGTGGAGAGTGGTTTCCTTTTGATTAGACATATTTCTGTAAATTGGGCAAAATGAAAATGTAATTTCTATTAAAAAAAAATTCATTTACATATAAAGTGTTTATTAATTTTTGTATTAAATAATATATCGGTATTAGAATTAGACTTAAAATTAAATAACGTTCAGTCCTCTACACACACGAAATAAAAATAAGAGTATTAGTACTAAACTCGGTAAAACAGAACTTTGAAAAAAATTTATTCAAAAATTTGTATTCTGGAAACCTAAATGCAACTGATAGTTACCTCATCACATTCCATGCACCACTCATACAAAGATATATATACAATTATGCACTAGCGTAAAAAATTATTAAATATATATGTTGAAATTGTCCCTCATGTTTATATTTGATACATTTCCGTGAAATTTTGAGATTTTATACTTATCTGTGTTTTAAATTGTTTTAAATATATCCCTTTAAAATGTTAATGTATTAGCACCATTTTTACACAAATGAAATTCATACTGAAAAGAAAACTGAAGCTACACGTTACAGAATCGGCTCAAGTATCGTCTTTAATACATTTAAAACAACTTATATTAATACATACTATGTTAAATGTTAAGTTCTGCTTTCATAAATACTTATTTATACTGCGGAAAAAACACCTTTTGGCAGTAAATAGTTAGGTTGTGCTATTCATCCATTCCCCTATCGTAATACTGACACCTTTTTTTTTTCATAAACAAGAATTTACAACTGCAGAAATTCATTTTCTTTCAAAATGAAAAACAACACTTCACTACTATTTTAAAATATACCTGGTTTTGGTGTAAAATATAACATGCGATAAATTGTACTCATTTGAGCTTGGAAATTATTAAAAATGTGTCCGAAACGAGACAAATTATTTCTTTAAAATTGTACTCTTTAGAAGCAAAGAAAATAAAATCAAAATGATAGTCCGGGATTAACAATAAATAAGCAAGATGACAACTTCTTGTCTGGTTGTAGTCCTTGCCTTAAAAAATACTTGAATCTTCTGAAGATATATGTTGGTTTACAAGATGATGCACTTCTTACGTTTAACTGGCTCTGGGGGCTCTAAGGCAGCTAGAATTGCTTCATCGAACACGTTCTTCAAACCTTTCTGTGTCAAAGCGGAACACTCTACGTATTTCACGGCCTTCAACTCTTTGGCCAATTTTTCGCCTAAAAATTTTTAGTAACAGACTTTTTATTGCAATCATTTAAAAAATATTGTAAATTTGTCAAAAAAAATTACATTGCAGATATAAGTAACTCGGTTAATTTTGAGTTTTGAAGAAAGTGTCACAGAAACTTGTATCATAATTTTTGTGTTTATGAGTGAATTACCACCCAAATTTCTTACTTTTTGGACACCTCGTACATTTAAATTTTTCAATGGCTATATTTAGTGGCAATTATCCTCTACAACTCACCTTGTTCTATGGAAATGGGTTTTTGCTTGTTTTTAGCTAATTTTTCTATAGTCGCTCCATCGTCGCGAAGATCTACTTGAGTTCCAACTAACAAAAATGGAGTTTTCTGACAGTGATGTGTAATTTCTGGGACCCACTATAAATTTCCCACAATAATTAATAACAGTGTAATGTTTTACTCAGTATTCAAATGTATAATTATAGATTTATTCTGTACATATATTAGGTATTTCCTATTTAAATAAAGTTTCTTTTCTGATACTACAAATGAAACTGAAATTTGAACACATTACCTTTTCTTTGACGTTTTCAAATGAGGACGGACTAACAACAGAAAAACAAACTAAGAAGACGTCCGTTTGAGGGTAACTCAATGGACGAAGTCTGTCATAATCTTCCTGGCCTGCAAACAAAATTTAAGGTGCAGTTTTTAAGTACCTTACTCCAACAAAATACACAGAACTGATAAAAGACAAGGCGAAAACCTCGCATTCGTGGGAGAAATTTTCCGACTGGATTTTTTTGCATATTCCGATTCGTGAGATGTTCCTTAACATGAATCAAGATAATGCCAGCCGGAAATCTGGTGCCCATTTGTTTAAACAAACTATTTTTAAACAAATTGTAAAAATTGGCTTTTTCCCTCCAGAAAATTTTTTTTTAGGTTTTTTGGCACGTTATAAACAAACAGGTTCCTATGCAAATGGCCGATTCCCGGGTTAAAAATTGTTAGTTTTGATGTTGCCAAGTACCTAAATTAAAGTTTAAACATCCCCCTACAAGATGCCGAAGAGTTTTTGGGACTCGCATTATTCTAAAGCCTTGTTTTTTAATTGTTAATAAAGGGCAATGAGCCGCGCGCGCGCCTCTCATACGCGGATTCGGTATTTCGTCTAGCGGCTTCAGCTTATGTTTTATGTCTGAATTAAGCAACGAAGAGTTTGATGCATTGCAAAGATTATACCTAAAAATATTAAATAAGAAAAGCAAAACAGCCAATGAAGCTAGAAAATTAATTTTCTCTCATTGTAGCAGAATCGGTATTAATTTAAGTAAAATACCATGCACTTCCGATGCATTGAAATTACACGACTTAAGAGCTTCTTTACAAGCGTACATATGGAAAAGTTCCTTTTTCCCTCAATATCAATATTTGGATTTCACAACTTTTGGTTATCAAAATGAAACAGGTGAATTATTACCTAAATTTATTACCAAAGATCCATTACCCAAAGACTTAGTTAAACAATGTAAATGTACAAAAAACTGTAAGACTAAAGCTTATTGGTACAATTTTGAATTAATTAAATAAAATTATTATGAATTATGAAATTTAAATCAATCAATTTTTACATTATTTTATGAGTAGTAATAGTACTTAGAATGCTAAATTCAGAGAACATAAGCTGAAGCCGCTAGACGAAATAGCGAATCCGCGTGAGGCGCGTGCGCTGCTCATAGCGCTTTATTAACAATTAAAAAACAAAGCTTTAGAATAATGCGAGTCCCAAAAACTCTTCAGCATCGTGTAGGGAGATGTTTAAACTTTAATTCAGGTACTGGCAACATCAAAAATAACAATTTTTAACCCGGAAATCGGCCGTTGAAAATCGACATTTTCGTATTTTTAGCAACTTAAATTGTTTATAACTTTAAAACTATCCATTTTAGAGTGCATAGGAACTTTTTTGTTTATAATGTGCCAAAAAACCTAAAAAAAATTCCAGAGTAAAAAAACCAATTTTTACAATTTGTTTAAAAAAGTTTGTTTAAACAAACGGGCATCAGATTTCCGGGCGGCATCATTTTGATTCATGTTAAGAAACATCTCACGAATCTGAATATGCAAAAAAATCGAGTCGGAAAATTTCTCCCACGAATGCGAGGTTTTTGCCTTGTCTATGATGATGTCGATCATTTCTTTGCAGTCTGTTGTAAGTAATTAAAAGACGATACAAATATATTTTACAACTTTTATCTATACTTAATCTTAGCTTTTTATTTTGCCGCAATTATCAATTTCTAGCAATATACAAATCTGAAATAATGATAAAAACATAACGTTAATCACAGCTTTTTAAAATGCATTGAATATATAAAAAATTAAAATGTTTAAGTATTAAATAACATTTAATTATAATTTTTTTATAGATTGTCTACTGACAACTGTAGTTCCAAAACATTCCTTAAAAGTAGTACCTCCAATAGACAAAATCGTAATTTGAATTTTTAAAATAATTCATAGACCCTTTTCAAAAATTGCAAGTATTTACTATTTACAAATTGCGAATACTTTATCTAATAGTATCTCCACTGAACACATGTTTTGCAAACAATCATGGTATCAGCTTAGTTGTAACATTCCTAAAGTTATTACTAGAAGAATTTAATAAAAAATAATTCTTATCAATTTTTCATACATCTAATGATAATTTAACATTTTGCACAAAGATTTAAATGTTAATAAAGCAATTATTGCTAATTTCCAAGTAAGTACTTATGATAACAAATAAAATACTTACTAGGTAATTACTTTTTGTTTAATTATATAAGAATGAAGATACTCAACTTCATAAATATTCAATGGATGTAACTAGTACAAACAATTATACTGCATGTAACGCTTTGTAAGTAGAACATAACTATTTCTACTAACACTATTTCAAATAAACTAATTCTAGATTATATTGACCTAACAGAAACTGTAAGGGTGTAAAGGTTAATATTAAAAAATGTGTATGTACTAAATAAATAACTGCTAATTTTTTTATATAAATATAAACGTTTTGAATTATTTTTGTTTTTTTTTCAAACTATATATAAATCTTTAGTTTATAGTCGCAAATTTCTTCGAGTATTTTTTGCAATTACATTAATTTATTACAAATTGTCTTTGCTTCACTAAAAGTTCTTATATGACATGCGAGTATGAGTCATCCATATTTCTCAAAACTCAATTGTGAGGGAAGTAGAAATTTTCAGTATTACGAAAACTTACCTGCAGTATCAAACAATCCTAGTGTATAAGGTTCTCCGCCTATCATAACCGTAACAGCATAATTATCGAAGACTGTAGGTACATATTCTGAAGGGAATTTATTGGTCGTATAGCTAAAACAAACATTATTAAAACAACCACCCTAGTGTTGAATTTCAACCACTTACCTAATGAGTAAACAAGTTTTACCCACTGCTCCATCGCCAACCACCACGCACTTGATGGTCTGCATTTTTAATTACTACAATGAAAAACAAGTAATGTCAAATTAAATGTCACACTTGACAAAACATATTAATGAGGTTAATCTATCGCAAATTTAATTGTATATAATTAAAAAGTCAATACCAAAAATTGAGGGAAAAAAATCTAAGAAATATATGGACTGAAAGAATTTAAAAAATGTAGTTATGGCTAAATTATGCAGAAATATTTTTATCATTGCTGCCATTTTAATGCATTCCTAGCGTCGTTTCAAGATTACACTGTCCACCCGGAAGTTAGTTTCTTTTATCATTTATTCCATTATAAATAGAAACTTAACGCCGACTTACATGTACATACCTTAATTATTAAAATATCCTAAAAATTAACTGAAAACTTGGACTTCACTACCATAAAACCACACTTTTGGGTTGGGTTCATGCACAAAAATTCTCACGATCCAAGTCAAACTACTGCGGCGACATCTGTCAGTGGCAGTGATAAATACAGTACCAATGCAGACTCGCAGACTAACTTACCTTACGAGGGATAATTGAAAAGAAATAACATTATTTAAAAGCAATCCGAAAGTACAAATAATTTTTTAGCTGTCGATTCAGTGCAAAACTTGGCTTACTGCATTATATTTTATTTCTCCTGTATGTTATAATTTAGCTTCAATTATAACTATGTATATCGAACGTTATTATTATTTCTAGTTCACATAGTATTAACTTTCGTACGTCTCTGGTACATAGTAAATAATGAACATTTTATCGTTTTACACAATATTTTTATTATAAATACATTTTTATTTCAAGTAACAATTAGGAATTGATAATTATTTAGTTAGAAGAATCCAAAATTTTCGAAATCTTATTTTTAAAGGTATCTATTTACGTCCATCTAGCGGACGTTCACCCAAGCAATTGTCACATTTAGAAATAAAATAATTTGTAGGTTATATTCCTAACAAATCTAAAATCCAATCGCTTGATGCTATATAAACTAGTGAAATCTTAAATTTAAAACTAAATTGGTTAAATAAAGAAAAATACGTTTAAAGTTTAACCAAGAATGAAAAAATCACCTATAAAAAGTGCTTTGATAGACAAACTTCATAAGGGATTTGTTTGTACGTGTATAGCTGTTACAATTTATGGATTTTCAGCTATAGGACTGTTTTATTATCGATATTTAACAGAAGTAAAGCCCAAAAAGTTATTAGAAAATCAAAGTTTACTAGCCGAAGGTTCATCAGAAGTTTTGAAGGACAATGTAGAAACATTAAAACTTTAGGTTATTTTAAATGGTTCTTCAAGATGTAGATTACTTGTATTATTTAATGATGTAAATATAGCGTTTATTGAATTTTTCTGTTTTTGATTTTAATTATGTGAAAAATCCAAGTTAAACCACGTTGAAATAATCAACGGTTAAAGTAACCTTGGTAGGGAAGTGGAAGTGGGGTGCTTCTACAAGCACTGTGCAGCATACATTTGTTTTTTTACTCAAAAAATAATTTTACTCTTTCAAATTCTTTAACGGTTACAATTTTTTGCATATTTTTTTCACATTTTTGTATAGGTTTCAAAATGCGATAATAGGTAAAAGCTGTATATATTTTTTATTATTTTGTTGATTGTTGATTTGTTGATTCCTCCCTGTACATTCAAGATGGCGTTGTACCTGAAAGTTGGTTCTAGTGGACATTAAAATATTTTATTTTTGTACATTTGTATTTTTTAATGTTGAAATATGAGTTCTAGAAGGTAAGTTAACAGTATTTATTAGCTATTAAAATATATATCTTGTAGAATATTCGCACCAAATTTCATTTTTCGAGGAAAAGTATGCATTCTGTCAAAAAGTCAAATTTACACAGGAACAAAAAATTGTTTATTTTTATTGTAAAATAAAGATTTTCAAGGCCTACTAGTAGAAATATTTCAAATTAAAAGTTGTTATAAATTTTAGATGGTTTTGGCCCACTATCAGTGGGATCGAAGCTGAAAAACTGTTAATGGAAAGAGGGGTGGATTGTAGTTTTTTAGCTCGACCTAGTTCCTCAAATCCCGGCGACTTTACGTTATCTGTAAGGTAAGTTATCTGGTTTGGTGTACACCCAAGCCAGTCACATATGCTGCAACAGTCACTGATATTTTAATAGCATATTTAATTTACTTAATAAAATATATTTCATGAATTACATTACCTATGTTATATGTTGATAAATTTTAATTACTCTAAGAGATCATTTCTGTTTTGGATATAATTATATTTCAGCTGAAATCTTGAGTTTCGTTAGAGTAGCTTCCTATATTCCATTATCTTAAATATAATTGAAAATTATCTTTATGATAACAGTTTTTATTTTAATGGAAAACTAAAATTCAACAAGTAGAGAATAGCTGTTTTACTGTATGAAGTACCTTATTGTATGTCTTAAACAAAGGCTACCTATGCTTAATTAAAATTTTCCTACCTATTTTTAAATTTTATGGTTGATAATAATCATATGTCCTACTCAGAGTAAATCTTAAATAGTTTGTCGATATCGTCATTAATATTAATGACTCGTAATTTAATTTTCCACAAAAGTTACCAATTTTATACACAAATTGAATTATCCTTGTGGACTGTCATAACGACTAAGTATGCATTAAGTATGCCAATAAAAATTAAATTTTCATCCACGTAACAAAAAGGGAAAATTTTGTCTGATCTGCACAATTTAATTAAGGGTTTGTCCTGAATTATCATGATTTCAATGTTCGGATATTTTTAGGAGAAATGGGGAGGTCACGCACATCAAGATTCAAAACTCTGGCGATTTCTATGATTTGTATGGAGGGGAGAAATTTGCTACCCTCTCGGAATTAGTCCAGTACTACATGGAAAAGCAGGGTCAATTGAAAGAGAAGAATGGAGAAATTATCGAGCTAAAGTATCCTTTGAATTGTGCTGATCCGACTACAGAAAGGTGAGTACATTACATTATAGTTTTTTCTATGAATTTAAATTAGTCCATATCATTGTAGAAAAATTTTCACAGTATACTTACAATACGAGTCATAATTTGTTGAAAAAAATGTTACCAAAGCCTCATCTGACCAAAACAAAAAAACGTTGAATATACCTGAATACCAAAATTGCTCCTTAAAAAGTTAGGAGCTTACGAAGGGTTTTTTTGTTTAATTCGCTAATCGATGTTAACTCTTTCAGTTTTTAAGACATTTCAATAAAATTTGGTTTCGTTTGTTTTCGGTATAGCCAAAATGAATATAAACTTATTTTTTTGAAAAAACATGAGTTGTATTTGAGCTTTATTTACTGTAAAAAACAGCAATTGCAATGGTGTCAGATTGTCACTTTTTTTCAGATATAATAGGAAGGATTTTTATATTAATTAAATACATTACCTTGTATATTTTTCACTTATTCATATAGAACTCTTTCTTATGACTGTCGTAATGTACACTCAAACTGCTGTATTTTTTTCTATTGTGTCACAAGCAATATTCTTATGAACTAAAACGAACAATCCTAGTAAAATTAGTCACTGTTTTAATTTAATTGAAATGTCATCTTGACAATTCCCAAATCTGGAAATCTCCCAGATTGGTTGCCTATATCATTACATTTAGGTACCTATTCAAAGTAAATAAATGAAAATTATAAAAATTTCTATATAATATGCCAGAAAATTTATATTTCAAGGCTCACAAAATATAAACAACAGTTAGTACAGAGGCTCACAAAATATAAACAACAGTTAGTACAGAGACGCAATCAAAACATATGTCAAATTTTTAATCTGAGTGTCAGCTCTGTTTTATTTTATCTGCGGTAGTCTAACTACAGTGTAAAACTAGTATCCAACAAAGGTCCACCATTTTCTTTCACTCTAATACACATAAAATATTGGAACAATTGTATGTGATAGTTTGAGACTATGAAAACATTTGTACCATCATTGTATCTCTTTTTGACACGTTTAACAAATAATGGATTCATGTCCGCAACGACTGTCTTTGATATTAGGACGCACTTGTGACGTAATGGCAATCTTAAAACGGTTCTAGTACAAAGTTTGATGGGATCTATTAGTACTAAAGGTATGGCTAAGAGTGTGTTATGAGCATGATGTTATGTCTCTGTAAAGGTTCTGTTCAAATAAATTAATAATAAAAAGTTTCCCAGTTATCATAACTAAAAAAAGCCATCTGGCAACAACGACAACATTGCATTTACTCTCATCAAGCCCTCTAGATATCAAATTTGGTGTCAATCAGGTAGACTACAAAAGTTATAGGGAGTACGGCATACAGAAAAACCACCCTGAATATAAAAAATCATAACAAATTCGTTAGAAATGTGTGAAGTTGTGATAATTGAATTATTTAGCTGCTATTTGAGAGAACATAAAATTTCTCTAAGGACATTCTTATTGAATATAAATCCCTTTTCATCTATTATCTAACATTAATAAAAAACGTAAATATACAAATTTAAGTTGTTTAATTTTAAGTACCTTCTTTTATTATTACATTTGATTGTTTTGAAAAAAAAGTCGACCATAATTTGTTCCAAAATTGCAGAAGTTTTAAACTAAATACAGGGTGTTTTCAAAAGAAGTAGAACAAATGATACTGGTGAATCTACAGCTAAACAGAACACATTTTGCATAAAAATGACCTTAGTAAAATGTTCTCTCCTTAGGAGATATGGCCTCTCAAAGTTTCCAAAAAAAATATGAAATAGCGGCTGTAATTTGAAAACCAAAAAAGGTATAATAGTTAAATTTTACACAAATGTTCTATTAATGCATGTGCAACTTCGCAACAATTTTTTTGAAAATTTCTGCCCTTGGGAGATAGTTGAAATAAGCATCCACACAATTATTTATAAAAATTAAATATTCAAAAATATGTATCAGGTAGCCTGGTTTATTTTAAAACTTTTACCTCTTTCACTTTTTTGTTTTAAAACTAACCGTTTATTAGCAAAAAAATTAAATAAGAAATATTTAAGTAGACAGATTCATGGGTACCATTTGTGCTGCTTCTATTGAAAGCACCCTGTAGAACTTCATAGTTGAAAAAATGTGTCAATAGCAATTTGTGGCGGTTCTGTTGTATGGCCTCTTAGATACCAGAAAATAACCCTCAAGATTTTTATCTATTTATTTGTAATCGGCAGGCCAACTAACAACTGCAATTAGTAAGAAGGAAATCATTTTATTATAACAACTCAATAAAGCGCACAACTATAAACAGAAAAAAAAACTATTAACTTTAACCAGTCTTGTGCACAAACATGAATATTATTCTATCTAGACTTTTATACAAAAATTCATGAAATCACATGCTTAAATGTGAAAAAAAGAGAAGACAAAATTTATAAAAAATATATCAATATTATTTAAAACATTATTACTTAATTACTTGGAGAGTTGTGGGTTTAGGAAAATTAATAAAAATTATTTTTTTTTTGCAAAATTTGCTGACGTTTCGACTATATATTTAGTCTCTCAAGGCTGTCCCACTATAAAAAGAATTTTATGTCAATAAAGTTAATAAAATAAAACATTTTCATCACATATGGGAAGGTAATTACTATGCTATTAATACGTAATCTAAACAAGACTTTTTTGTATCGAGAGTTGGAATAAAAATTGTATTAGTATTTCTTCTTCATCGTATTCGATGCAAAGTAGAGCAAAAAGTTGTCGGTCTTTTATCAAAGGAAAATCGTGTCATCGTTTTTAGGAGACGTAAGATAAATCATTTCAAATTTAAAATGAAATTCAATGTAAAATCTGAAATACCGCTGCATATGTACTGTGTTCTGGTAGTAGCTGTAGTCGCCCAGGTGCATCGAGTGTACGAACTGGTTGGTTATACATCAAATACTAACCTGGCGAGCTTTGCCATCAATTAGAGAGCGCTTCCAAAAAACAAGTAAACAACAGTGGCGCGTACAGAGGTAAAATGTAGTACATATGTGGAATTTAGGAAACAAATTGGATTTATAATAAATTACATTTAAAATAAATAGTTTATGAGAATAAAGGAATTTTTGTAGGAACAAGGGTGCCAGACCTGAACCTGATCCCCTCGTCCCTTCATAATATATAAAGAAATTATTCAATTTGTAAAACCCTTAAAAGCGTACTTCATTGGTTCCCTTGACAGGCAATGATTTATTACTTTGCATCGAATATGATCCTACTATAGGTATAATAATACGGAATTATGAAATACAACTGTTTCATGTAAATATAATTCACATCGCTGTTGATTAATTTATAAAAAAATGCCATATCCGTTTATTTTTTAACGTTCTTAAATTAATTCAGTTAGTAAAACTTAATAATCATTTCCATTTCTTTTTTAATATAAGAACCGAATCATTTTTCCTCAATTTTATAAATAATATATACCAAATGACTGTGTCACATTCTAGTAGTATACTTGGAACATATTCGTTACATAATTGGAATGATTTTTTTTTTTTGAAATTACTTGAATTTCTAATAATGAAACCTAAAATTTGAAAAGCCTTGTCTATTGGTTATATGAAAGATTTAGTCTATACACAAGTTTTAGACACTAGAAAGGAATTATTGAATATCGGTACATGAGAATGAACTTATATTCAGACGAGAAATACATAAAGATTTATCTGTCATAAAATTAAGTAAGATTTACTGTTATTCCATAAATAGAAATTGCATTAATTTCACTAATTCTCATCTAACTGCAATAAATTTATGGGTTTCCATGTACATTTTGTTAATATAGTCGCTTTAAATTAATTTGCCCGTATTTTTGTTGTACCCACATTATTCTTACCACCTTGCCAAGTGCCTTAGTGCATATTTATATGTCCCACATGTTTTCTTCAAATTTTTCTACGCAGTTGTACGAGGTGGTATTAATCATAGTAATTCACATTTCCATATTTACTATCAGTTGCAATATCGAATATTATCATATGAAAAAAATAACCCATCAAGTTGATTTATACTTCATTGAATGCAACGATCATCTAGTAATTTATTTAACGTGTCGTGACAATTATTTAAAAAAAATTAGTAGAATTTAATTGCAGACCTTCAGGTATTCTTTACATACATATTCATTGAGCATCGTTGGTAGACTACGTTGCATTACAATCACCTCATGGGACTGTATGCTCAAAGCCACGTCTTATTCCGCTGTATTTGGTGATCGGCGATCATATCCTGTTTTTTTAGAAATTAGTTTTTGATACATTGTTATGTATTTAACAGCAATACGGTATTTAGAGACTACACATTGGAATAAAAGTGACTGAATAGGCATGCTACTTGGAATATGGAATCAGTACCAGGTATTGTCACAAGAGGTGTGAGTCACTTTTCCTATTAGGGAGTTTAGGGAGTTCACTCATTACTAAGTACAATATTACAGCATTTTTTATATTTACGGTGTTAGTTGACTTGACCAGCAACTTACCTATTGAAAATTAATGTTATGCATAGCGTGGCATGTTTTATTTATCGATTGCTTAGTATTTTTGGACTATATCAAGTTTTTAAAGTAATTAAACGTCATATTATTTTATATACAGGATGTTTTTTAAAAATAGCTTCCCTCCTATAACATTTATGAATTGTTTACCTGATGTGGAATTTGTAATCCAGGGGTAACAGAACATGGATAATCTGATGAGAGAATTATATTGTTGTCAAATGCAACACTACATAAGTAAAAATTTACTTATTTTTTACTATTACAGTGATATACAGTTTGATGGGTCTGTCTGGAGTAGTAAGAGAGGTATATCCAAAAATGTGCTATAAGCATAGTGTATTAGACAAAGACTTGATTGTCAAGCAACTACCTCTATAAGCATCTAAAACTGTAAATTTTATTATTACTTTTACTCTTTTTTATATGTCTCCCTTACTATTAGAGATAGACCCATGAAACTTAT